TCTCTCTCTCCCTTTCTCTCTCTCTCTCTCTCTCCCTTTCTCTCTCTCTCTCTCTCTCTCTCTCTCTCTCTCTCTCTCTCTCTCTCTCTCTCTCTCTCTCTCTCTCTCTCTCTCTCTCTCTCTCTCTCTCTCTCTCTCTCTCCCTTTCTCTCTCCCTCTCTCTCTCTCCCTCTCCCTCTCTCTCTCTCCCTCTCCCTCTCTCTCTCTCTCTCTCTCCCTCTCCCTCTCTCCCTCTCCCTCTCTCTCTCTCCCTCTCTCTCTCTCTCTCTCTCCCTAATGGTCCTTCTCCTCCTTCTTCACTTGCCAACCTCCCTCCCTCCTCCTTACCCAACGAGGTCCACTCAGAGAATAACAAGAGGACTTGAGACAGATACTTCAAGCTAATCCAACTTTTTCTCTCTCTGAATCTGTGTCTGTCTGTTTGTCTGGCTCTTTCTGCTTGTATTTAGAGTTCTGAATTTGAGGTCGAGTAAGATATGGAGAGAAATAGATAGAAAAAGCAAATGAAGATAAAAGTAAACACGAGAGAGAGAGAGACAAGAAAAGAGTATTATATTTTTCTGTTACCTTTCCACCACCACTCACACTGTAGGTGTGGTGAGTATGATGTATATAGAGTATTAAAAAGAGAGAACTATGGGCTGAAGTATATTTATTGGTTAGTTAGTAATCTATTAACCCAAAAGTTGCAAGTAGCACGGGCTATGGTGATCCCGTGGTGCATTTACCTGGCACAGGAGCGGGGCTGTAACTGCAGAGGGTAAGATGAAACTATCTTAATATATATATATATATATATATATATATATATATATATATATATATATATATATATATATATATATATATATATATATATATATGCTCAACAACTTTGTTATAATCTTAAGCCCTGTACGTTGTAAATTAGACTTGACTAATTAGTTAAGGGGACATGTTAAATATTGCCCTTAACCTGTTATCAAACAATGGATGAGTTCCGAAGCCGTACGAGGTTGCAGACGAGGAGTCACAATAACGGGGCTGAAATATGTTAGCCAAACCACACACTAGAAAGTGAAGGGACGACGACGTTTCGGTCCGTCCTGAACCATTCTCAAGTCGATTGTGTCCATGGAAAATGGTCCAGGACGGACCGAAACGTCGTCGTCCCTTCACTTTCTAGTGTGTGGTTTGCCCTAGGAGGGTATTTATAATAATTATAACCTTGGGTTGTAAAGTTTTGGCACTCGTAAATTATTTAATAAATGTAAACAAAGCCGCCTTGATTAAAGATGAACAGGTTTCGTAAGTAAATGCCTAATGACTCCTGGCCCCAGGTGTGGAGTGGGCTCAGGTGCTGATGTTTGCTGACCAAACTTAATTAGAGTCAGGTGTGTGGTCGTCTTGACAACTTAACAAGGATCTGTAGAGCCCAGTAAGTTACCGTTATCAACAAGAGGATATAAATACCTTTTGAAGTGGTTCAGGGGATTAATAATCCCGCCTCCTGGTTGGTGGTCTGATCAACCAGGCTGTTAGACGCCGCTGATCGCATTTTGACGTAGGAGTAGCAGCCCATTTTTGTATTTTTATTGACCAAAAATAGCTCTTAAGATAATTATATATGAGGAAAATATATAGCATATATGCCACATTAACATCCCTTAAGAGGTAAATACCTGAAAAATATGATATTGTCGATGAATATAAGCGAATTGCTGCAATTAAAGCAAATTAATTGCAACAAACATGTTGCAATTAAAGTGAATTTGTCTCATAATCGAGTTTTTTTGTCGAATCTGGCCGTGAGGATGTGGATAGAGGTGGCTTCCATAAATTCTTTCACTGTATTCCTCTTACTGACTTCCTGCACAAGGTACGAGCATTTCCTTAATGTTATTTTTGGTCATCGAGATTTCTCTTGTGGTGATCTGCTTATCTATAAAAAATCAAGTTATCTTTAATGCATACTTGTGTGTTCGTACAGTTTCAGGCACCAAGAAAAAGATGTTATTCTGTCTATACGTCGTAAGTACCGGGGCTCAGAGATCAAGTCCCAGCTGTGTCTGGGGTACAAGTGACAGGATGAACAACCCAGTGGGTTTTCTTCCTATTGGGGAGTGTTGTACATGCTGCTATGGCGGTGTGTTCACTCACAGGATGAGTGACGCTGCCCCATACTGTCACTATGGCGGTGTGTCCACTCACAGGATGAGTGACGCTGCCCAATACTGTCACTATGGCGGTGTGTCCACTCACAGGATGAGTGACGCTGCCCAATACTGTCACTATGGCGGTGTGTCCACTCACAGGATGAGTGGCTGCCCAATACTGTCACTATGGCGATGTGTCCACTCACAGGATGAGTGGCGCTGCCTAATACTGTCGCTATTGCGGTGTGTCCACTCACATGATGAGTGGCGCTGCCCAATACTGTCGCTATGGCGGTGTGTTCACTCACAGGATGAGTGGCGCTGCCCAATACTGTCACTATAGCGGTGTGTCCACTCACAGGATGAGTGACGCTGCCCAATACTGTCACTATGGCGGTGTGTCCACTCACAGGATGAGTGACGCTGCCCAATACTGTCACTATGGAGGTGTGTCCACTCACAGAATGAGTGGCGCTGCCCAATACTGTCACCATGGCGATGTGTCCACTCACATGATGAGTGACTCTGCCCAATACTGTCACTATGGCGGTGTGTTCACTCACAGGACGAGTGACGCTGCCCAATACTGTCACTATGGCGGTGTGTCCACTCACAGGATGAGTGACGCTGCCCAATACTGTCACTATGGGGGTGTGTCCACTCACAGGATGAGTGACGCTACCCAATACTGTCACTATGGGGGTGTGTCCACTCACAGGATGAGTGGCGCTGCCCAATACTGTCACTATGGGGGTGTGTCCACTCACAGGATGAGTGGCGCTGCCTAATACTGTCACTATGGCGGTGTGTCCACTCACAGGATGAGTGACGCTGCCTAATACTGTCACTATGGCGGTGTGTCCACTCACAGGATGAGTGGCGCTGCCTAATACTGTCACTATGGCGGTGTGTCCACTCACAGGATGAGTGACGCTGCCTAATACTGTCACTATGGCGGTGTGTCCACTCACAGGATGAGTGACGCTGCCCAATACTGTCACTATGGAGGTGTGTCCACTCACAGGATGAGTGACGCTGCCCAATACTGTCACTATGGAGGTGTGTCCACTCACAGGATGAGTGACGCTGCCCAATACTGTCACTATGGGGGTGTGTCCACTCACAGGATGAGTGACGCTGCCCAATACTGTCACTATGGAGGTGTGTCCACTCACAGGATGAGTGACGCTGCCCAATAAACTCGCCCCTCGGAGCAAAATTAAACAAATTACATCACAGGGGAGTACACACGAACATCAATAAATATGCATTGCTAACTCTCCTACAGTGTCGAAGACAAAGCTCGGAGGAGAATACAATATCTCCTTCAACAAAATATGTTAATATGGAAGTTAGCCTATTAGTTTACTGATGAGAGAGGCGTAACAAATGCTACGATCCGCTTGCAAAGTTCACCCTTTAGCAGCGCTCACTAACGACCCTTCGACCAACTGTCAGAGCAGTAAACAATTTGCATATTTCTGTAATCAGTCCTCTTTAATGAGGATGGATTACGGCTGGGCCAATTTGCATGAAACGATGCCAGTTGGAGCTGTTGCCTGAGGAAGGCTTGGGGCACCGCTGAGTGCCTGGCACTTGTCCAGATGCCATAGAAAGCTGTAAGAGACCCGGTGCCAGCGCAAATTCTTGGTAAATCACGAAGTGCCATATAGCGTGGCACTGAACCTCTTTCAAATATCTAAATTCTTGGCCAAATTTGGGAGTAATAATAGTTTTGAAAACTGATGTAAATGAAGATCACTTTTGGCAACTAGGCTCAACAATTAACTTAGTGTTAACTGTAGTCTCAGTTAACTACGAGTAACTATAATTAACACTTCTCATAGATTCCCATCGTCTGCAAACATCAACATATAAGACTCGACTCCTGCAGTCAGTTATATAAATTTGTATGTGTCCCGGCACTGATCCTTGAGGCATCCCGCTTGTTACTCTAGGCCAGTGTGTGTGTGCCTGTGTACTCTCCAAGTCATACTCGCCTAGTTGTGCTTGCGGGGGTTGAGCTCTGACTCTTTGGTCCCGCCTCTCAACTATCAATCAACAGGTGTACAGGTTCCTGAGCCTATTGGGCTCTATCATATCTACACTTGAAACTGTGTATGGAGTCAGCCTCCACCACATCACTGCCTAATGCATTCCATCTGTTAACTACTCTGACACTGAAAAAGATCTTTCTAACGTCCCTGTGGCTCATTTGGGTACTGAGTCTCCACCTGTGTCCCCTTGTTCGCGTACCACCAGTGTTAAACAGTTTATCTTTATCAACCTTGTCATTTCCTCTGAGAATTTTGTAGGTAGTGATCATGTCTCCCCTAAAGTGTTTGGTGTGTGTGTGTGTGTGTTCCAGACATTATGGCGTGTTGTTCAATGCTGGAGTACGAACATTACACTCGTCTGTCTGTTCGGTTCGTTATCCCAGTCAATCCTCTCCTAATGATGGTGTTGTAGTGACTCCTTCATCAATTAAGCATGCTACTACGGCTTCTAATATCAAGGGTCGCGTTATAGTGAGTGGGTCGCTCTGTGGGACGTGGACTGGTGCTGGTGTAGTGGCCAAGTAGTGAAATAGAGAACAAGAGAAGCATCAAGAATACTTTATATACATATTCGTTTTCCCCTAAAACATTAATTTAACCATTCTGCGTTTTGGGAGTGAAGAAATCTACGAACAAGAGCGCCATGAAAGAAGAATTTGGAGAGGATTCAGCGAAGAGAAGAGAAGGAGATAATTGAGTAAGAGAATGGAGAGGAGAGAGAATTAAGTAGGACGAATACGCGCATCATGAGGAGAGTGGAAGGCAGCGGCCGGGAGAACCCAGACCGCAGTCTGCTGGCAGCTGCCATCCAGGTCGCACGCAACGCCCGCCCGCCCGCCCGCGACTCTCTTTACTGCGCGCTGTCAGTTACGCGCCCGCGAGCGGTCGGCTTCTACACGCGTTGTGAGTGGTTGGCTTCTACGAACGCTGCGAGTAGTTGGTTTTCACGCGCGCTGTGAGTGCTGTCTTCCACGTACGCTGCGAGTGCTTGAATTTTACGCACTCTGTGCGATACTTGGCTTCTATATTCGCCGCGAGAGCTCCTGCTCCACATGCTACATGGTCCTTACACATCTGCCCTCCTCAAGTCACATATATATATTTTATATACGTAGTTTCCAGCAAACAACACACATATATACATATCCAGTTGTCTGGTACACGGGTACAAAATATATACACCCAGATAAAGACTAAGAATGGCGTATGTGCGTACGATCAGCTTGCGTACGCACAGCATTATATGCGTCATTGTAGGATAGCGCATGTAGTGATGTGTGGTAGTGTGTGTGTGGGTTTTTCCTGTACTTCATATGTACATTCGTTTCTCTTTACAAGATTATTCTTACACGAGACAGTGTTTAAGAACAATGTTTACTTGAAATAAAAGTTTCATTTCTAAGTGTTGTATACAATTGAAATTTTAAGATAAATAAGATCATTACGCCTTTAAAAACTGAAATTAAACACACACACACACACACACACACACACACACACACACACACACACACACACACACACACACACACACACACACACACACACACACACACACACACACACACACACACACACATTCTAAGCATATTAATTTAACTTAACAATTATTTACGACAAACAGTATTAGGACAACAAAGAACTTCGACAGAAGGATTATATGAAGTTGTTTGGTGTTATATTGACCAGAGACACACACACACACACACACACGTGTATCATGTATCACAGAAATTGTATGTATCCCCACGTTAGTCAGCTGCTTGACGGTGTCGCTGTCATAACTAGTGACGAGCAAGACCGTGACACTGTCATAACTAAATGAACAAATCCACAAGTGCCGTGACGAGGATTCGAACCTGCGTCCGGGAGCATCCCAGACACTGCCTTAATCGACTGAACTACTACAAGGTAAAAGGGTTGAAACCTTTTTACCCTGTCGTAGCTCAGTCGATCAAAGGCAGTGTCTGGGATGCTCCCGGACGCAGGTTCGAATACTGTCAGTATTCGTACGTACGAACAACAAAGACACTAGTAGTGTCTCCTTGTACTAGTAAACTAGTAAAAGGAGGCAGGGAGGCAGAGCTAAGAAGGTAAACAGGATGTGTGAGTGTTGGTGGTGAGAGAGACAGAGAGGGATGCTGGAGGCTGAGGATACCATCCTCATCTGCTGGAGCATCCTCATCCTGTGTTTCCTTGGTGTAAAAAACTTGTTTGGTATAGGTTGTGTATGGCAGTGAGGAAGTCAATGGGGGTTGTGTATGGCAGTGAGGAAGTCAATGGAGTAGTGTATGGCAATGAGGAAGTCAATGAGGTTGTGTATGGCAATGAGGAAGTCAATGGGGATTGTGTATGGCAATGAGGAAGTCAATGGGGATTGTGTATGGCAATGAGGAAGTCAATGGGGATTGTGTATGGCAATGAGGAAGTCAATGGGGTTGTGTATGGCAATGAGGAAGTCAATGGGGTTGTGTATGACAATGTGGAAGTCAATGGGGTTGTGTATGGCAATGAGGAAGTCAATGGGGTTGTGTATGACAATCTGGAAGTCAATGGGGTTTGTGTATGGCAATGAGGAAGTCAATGGGGTAGTGTATGGCAGTGAGGAAGTCAATGGGTTTGTGTATGGCAATGGGGAAAGAGCGATAGGTAGAAGAGGTAAACTTGTGTGTACTCACCTAATTGTGCTTACGGGGGTTGAGCTCTGGCTCTTTGGTCCCGCCTGATGGGGATTTTGTGAGTGCAAGTGCGACACACAGCGGGGCTAGGGGGAAACGCTGAAAGAAACTGGTTTTAAGTGCCTGCAAACATGTGGTGGAGGCGAGTGCCTTGGGACTGTGAAGCGTGATACACTTTACTGGTGCGGTTGGCATTGTGCATGGCAAGTTAGAGAGCGTAGGTCCCCGACTTCCCTTCCCCTAGGAGAGCTTCCTTTGTTTATATCCTTTTTGACAAACTTTTTATCAAGCTGTTGTTGTTTTTTCTTTTGCACTTGTTTGCTTGTTCCTAAGGTCTCTTACTAGTCTCACACTGTAGATCTAGTCAGGGTGGACTCAAATGAGACGGGGTAATGTAAGGTCCGACCAACCCGTCTTAAACCCGTTTAATTACACTCTTACAACCCGTCTAATTACACTAATTACTACATCTCATCATCTCAAGATAACCCGTCTCTAGATTAACACATCGCATTTTGACCTCAATATCCCATCGGACAAAATATGATGTACTATGTATCATCCGTGACAAATATTCAGGTCTACTATGCGTGGATCTCTTACGTCAGGTTCGGAAAACTGAGTACATGATTTTCTATCCGTTGTGAAAACTCGAGAGGACGGGATAGAAAGCTAGAAAGGGAAGGAAGATGGAGGGAAGGCACGATATCCAACCACTCCGACCATCGGGGATCGAGCGCCGGCCTGCAAGACCGTCACCTTGTCGACCAGTCCTAGCGCATGGACATTGGACTGTGATAAGAGAGATATAGCGGAGGGGGAATATATGCCTCTGGGGACATAGTCACCTGGGGAGCCGGTCGGCCGAGCAGACAGCACACGCTGGACTTGTGATCCTGTGGTCCCGGGTTCGATCCCGGGCGCCGGCGAGAAACAATGGGCAGAGTTTCTTTCACCCTATGCCCCTGTTACCTAGCAGTAAAATAGGTACCTGGCTGTTAGTCAGCTGTCACGGGCTGCTTCCTGGGGGGTGGAGGCCTGGTCGAAGACCGGGCCGCGGGGACACTAAAGCCCCGAAATCATCTCAAGATAACCTCAAGATAGTCTTCCATTTTCTTGGTGTTTGTCTTGCAACAAGCACACTCTTGTCCTGTTGTGTAATTGTCCTTCAATGAACTAGCTTTATACAAGGTGTAGACAGTGATGGGACAGGGAGTGGACAGATCGTCCGCAAGACGGTACGACAAGTTAGTTTTCTTATTGTTAAAACCGTATATATTGATAGGTTAAATTAAGGTGTATTTGCTAAGACTCAGCTGTTAGGTTCCCTTGGGATAGGTTAGGCTGGGTAAGGTTAGGTTAGGCTGGGTAAGGTTAGGTTAGGCTGGGTAAGGTTAGGTTAGGCTGGGTAAGGTTAGGTTAGGCTGGGTAAGGTTAGGTAGGCTTTAACGTCCATTTACGAACAATGTTGTGTAATGTACGACTCATATCCATTTGTATCTAATGAAGAATGTATGCAGGTGGAGCAGGAAGAAGGAATAAGAGGCAGTAAGATGATTGGGGAGTTAGATAGAGGGAGAAAGGAGCTAAACCTATAACAAAAAAAAATCAGTCAATAGGACAGAGAAAAATTATCCTAGAATAACACAGTTACACCCAAAGTGGGAAGACGATTAGAACCAAAGAATGTGGGAAGCGAGTCATAGATTCATGGGAGACGTATATGAAGATAGGCCCATGAGAGGAAGACAGATGAAGACAGGTCATAGAGAGGAAAATAGGGTCGTGGGGAAGAACAGAGACCACGGCATGGAAGGACGAAAATAGGACCATGGGATGAAGGTTGAAAATATGACCCCTAGAAGGAAGGGTCATGGGAAAGATGGGGTCACATGAGGAAGTCATGCGAGAGAGAGAGGGAGGTCATGTAAGGGGATGTTAGGTCTTGGAGGGCCAGGAATAAGTACCAGCCTCCAGCCCGACGCTAATCTTAGCCCCCTCCGAGTTGCTGGGGATGAAGAGTGAACGCCGGAACACCTGGAGTGCAGACTCCGCCCACGGCGTTCCTCTGGGCGCTGGCGAGAACGCCCAGAGATGTGTTGACGACTCTAGTGATATAAAGGTCACACGCTGTGCCTGCTCCCCGTTGATCAATACTTCAGCGACAACCAACCACACGCCATCCAGCAGCAGTGATGACCAGTATTCACTGCATCGCCTTCAAGGCAAATCGGATTTGTCACTGCATCTCCTCCAAGACGACTGGCTTGTCACTTCATCTCCTCCAAAACGACTGGCTTGTCACTGCATCTCCTCCAAGACGACTGGCTTGTCACTGCATCTCCTACAAGACGACTGGTTTGTCACTGCATCTCCTACAAGACGACTGGCTTGTCACTGTAACTCCTATAAAACGACTGGCTTGTCACTGCATCTCCTACAAGACGACTGGCTTGTCACTGCATCTCATTCAAGACGACTGGCTTGTCACTGCATCTCCTACAAGACGACTGGCTTGTCACTGCATCTCCTCACTCATCACTACAGTGTAGAATCAGTCTCTCTCTCTCTCTGGTGGACATGAGAAACAAAATATGTCCCGCAATGTCAAGTTGTTGACTTCAAGATGTAAAATCCCTCTCACACGATGATCATAATTCTTTACGACTCGAACGTGTGAAAATGATGCCAGTGTCAAGTTGAGCAAGATTATTTGCCATCTTCGGTTAAACTTTGCAACTTTCAGTGGGTAAAGCGTTTAGTTTAGGGCGCTGGCTGCTGTAATCGAGAGGAGCTGTCAGACACGACCCGCGTGATCGGCAATGATGTGTTGACACTCTTCTGATTAGCTTCTGGCGTCATTCATATAGTTGAGGTGTCTTCACGAAGAATTAAAGTCTTGTTTGAAGATTGATGAGCCAGTAATTTCCGCTGGGGTTTGTCATTCGTAACTTTATGTATTAGGACTTAACGATATTATCGAATCGGAGCCCAAGCGGTACCGTCTTCAGTTTGAGGATCACAATTCAACACCCGATGGTCCAAAAGATTGGGAACCGCTCCGTCATTCCTTCCTTCATATCCCAGCTCCTTGTCCTCATATATCAGCTCCTTGTCCTCATATCCCAGCTCCTTGTCCTCATATCCCAGCTCATTGTCCTCATATCTCAGCTCCTTGTCCTCATATCCCAACTCCTTGTCCTCATATCCCAACTCCTTGTCCTCAGATCCCAACTCCTTGTCCTCAAATCCCAGCTTCTTGTCCTCATATCCCAACTCCTTGTCCTCATACCCCAGCTCCTTGTCCTCATATCTCAGCTCCTTGTCCTCAGATCCCAACTCCTTGTCCTCATATCTCAGCTCCTTGTTCTCAGATCCCAACTCCTTGTCCTCATATCCCAGCCCTTTGTCCTCATATCCCAGCTCCTTGTCCTCATATCCCAACTCCTTGTCCTCATATCCCAGCTCCTTGTCCTCATATCTCAGCTCCTTGTCCTCATACCCCAGCTTCTTGTCCTCATATCCCAGCTCCTTGTCCTCATATCCCGGCTCCTTGTCCTCATATCCCAGCTCCTTGTCCTCATATCTCAGCTCCTTGTCCTCAGATCCCAACTCCTTGTCCTCATATCCCAGCCCTTTGTCCTCATATCCCAGCTCCTTGTCCTCATATCCCAGCTCCTTGTCCTCATATCTCAGCTCCTTGTCCTCATATCCAAGCTCCTTGTCCTCATACCCCAGCTCCTTGTCCTCACATCCCAGCTCCTTGTCCTCATATCCCAGCTCCTTGTCCTCACATCCCAGCTCCTTGTCCTCATATCCTAGTTCCTTGTCCTCAGATCCCAGGTCCTTGTCCTCATATCCCAGCTCCTTGTCCTCATATCCCAGCTCCTTGTCCTCATATCCCAGCTCCTTGTCCTCATATCTCAGCTCCTTGTCCTCATACCCCAGCTTCTTGTCCTCATATCCCAGCTCCTTGTCCTCATATCCCGGCTCCTTGTCCTCATATCCCAGCTCCTTGTCCTCATATCTCAGCTCCTTGTCCTCAGATCCTAACTCCTTGTCCTCATATCTCAGCTCCTTGTCCTCAGATCCCAACTCCTTGTCCTCATATCCCAGCTCCTTGTCCTCATATCCCAGCTCCTTGTCCTCATATCCCAGCTCCTTGTCCTCATATCCCAGCTCCTTGTCCTCATATCCCAGCTCCTTGTCCTCATATCTCCTACAAGTATACTACAGCTTCACTGGCTAAGCAGTTTTACCTAACCATAGCCTTCCCTGGCCTTCACGTCCCGGCATGACAGTTGAAACAATACTTAATAACGGTACGAGATTAATAGTGTCGCAGTTGGCTTGCGATGTTTTTTTCCAGGATAAGTTTCCCTCGATGTACAGCATAGATCCAAAGTGGGTGGGGGTAGCTGCTGCCCCGTCAGGAGTCTGTAACCCCTTTGGAGAGAGAGAGAGAGAGGGGGTGGGAAAGGGGAGGATTTGGGTTAGGAGACAATCAAGGTGTTGGAGATTAAGGTGAGGAGAGACGCGGAATATATAATCTAATTGCTTATACATATGGAAATTGTTAGTTATTATTGAATATGTGTTTGTTATTTTATATAGAGATGAGATGGGGGCTAAGCAGCATTAGATATTAGTTGACAGTGAATGTTTTGCTCTAATGTTAAATTATCTTTCAGGCTTAAATAAACAGTTTAGAAAAAACATTAAATTAAAAAACCTCCCATGCCATAAACGCTTATTTAGCTAAAATAAGCTGGATTTATCACCAGAGCTGGCGACTGTGGGGGGGATTACTGTGTACTGAACTGTGAGGGGTCACTGTACTGGACTGTGAGGTGGGGGGTTATTGTGTATTGGACTGTGAGGGGGTCACCGTACATTTGATTGTCAAGGAAGCTGGCAGCTGACGATGGTGGAGCCATGAACCAGGAGCCACAATCACCGTTGCTACAGACAGTGTGCCACGCTAGTCTGCTGACCTTGGTCACTCTGATGGCCGACCACGTGGAACAGCTTGACCAGGTGGGTCAACTCTCCCGTCTAGGCTTCAAGAAGGCCACCCACGAGTCTCTCAAGCTGCCGCAGACGAGATATGACGACCGGCTCCATCTGAGGAACAATGCTGAGACATTCAACGGCGATGCGGTCGAAGCTGAGAAACTCCTGCGGGATTCTTCAGACTTGTTGAGTGCGTCGGAAAAGTCTGAAGTCTTGTTTGGTGAAGGAGACACACGCGAGCTTCCCGATCTCGTTCTGCCTTGCGCTCCGATCTACAGGTTCGACGAGGAAGGGGAGATTTTTCAGCAAGTTAATACAATGACGCCCAGCAGTAGTGAAGATTGCGGGTACCACAGTGGTCCCTCTGAGGTGCACTACGACGATGCCCCTGTGTGTAACGACCACAGTAATGACCCTCTGACTCTATCTGTCACTCCCGACACGGAACTCGTCGACTCCTGGCCTGGTATAGATCGACTGTGCGTCGTCAGTGTCGACAGTGGCGCCTCGAACTCATCCCCGTTCATCACCTCGGCAGCGGAACTCCAGTCCTTCCCTAACATCGACGACACACCCACCGACATCATCCTAATGAACCAATCTAGCACTTTAAACGAGGACGAGACACAAGTTAACGCCAAGGTTATTCCGGATATTAACGTGATCGCTGAGACAGAAATGATGGCGGAGACGATTCCCAAGATCGACTTCCACGCCGCGTCCATTGAGCTCGTAGACGACTACCTCGAAGATCACTGTCCAGAGAACCAGCTGAGGGACCTCTCCACCACCGTCCTTGGAGACACAGGTTAGTCACCTTTCTCCAGTACCATGTTTCCACTTTCTTTCCAAATAATAATTACCTTAGTATAATTACAGGATGAGAGGTAAGCTCGTGGTGTCCCGTCTTCCCAATACTCTTTGTCATATAACGCTTTGAAACTACTGACGGTTTTGGCCTCCACCACCTTCTCACCTAACTTGTTCCAACCGTCTACCACTGTGTGCAAAAGAAAACTTTCTAATGTTTTTTTCGGCGTCTCTGTTTCCTTAGCTTGAAACAGTGTCATCTTGTTCGTGATGGTGCTGGTTTCAGGAATTCCTCCTTGTCAATTTGGTCGATTCCTGTTAGAATTTTGTACGTGGTGATCATATCACCTCTTTTTCTTCTACCTTCTAGTTTAGGCATGTTTAATGCCTGTAGTCTCTCTTCGTAAGTTTTGTTTTTCAGGTCCGGGAGCCATTTTGTAGCATGACGCTGCACCTTATCCAGTTTCTTTATGTGCTTCTGGAGGTTTGGGCACCACACACCTGCTGTACCACGCGTCATGTTGGAGGGACGGGGGGGGGGGTGGAAGGGAACTATCAGGGGGGTGGGAAGCGCCAAGCCATTACGACTACATAGCACTGGGAAGGGATCAGGATGAGGATTTGGGATGGGACGGTGGCAAAAGAATGGTGTCCAACCACTAGGACGGTCGGGGATTGAACGCCGACCTGCATGAAGCGAGACCGTCGCTCTACCATCCAGCCCAAGTGGTAATTGGTTAAGTTGCCCATGAGTTGTGTGTGTGTGTGTGTACTCACCTACTTGTGCTTGCGGGGGTTGAGCTTTGGCTCTTTGGTTCAGCCTCTCGTCCGTCAATCTACTGGTGTACAGTTTCCTGAGCTTCTCGAGCTCTATCATATCTACATCTGAAACTGTGTATGGAGTCAGCCTCCACCACATCACTTCCTAGTGAATTCCATTTACTGTACTCACCTATTTGTGCTTGTGGGGGTTGAACTCTGGCTCTTTGGTCCCTCCAACCCGCACTGTGTGTGCGTTCGTGTGTGTGTGTGTGTGTGTGTGTGTGCGTGTGTGCGTGTGTGTGTGCGCGCGCATGACGTTAACCAGCGAGTCATGTGCCAGAACAGTGTATAGTGGCGATGGGCTTCATTAGTTAATGGACTACGGCCTCTCTTGTTGATTGCCGGAAGACGTACATGCGCTGTTGGGTTTGATTGGCAGTTGGACTTGATGAATATCGGTTCCGGTAATGGCAAGTTGATGGCTTGTTGGGATCAATTCGGGATATCAGTTAGTTCACCCTCGTAAGATGCAAGATATTTTTTCTTTCAGGGATTGATTGATTGATGAAGATTAAGCCACCCAAAAGGTGGCACGGGCATGAATAGCCCGTAAGTGGTGGTCCTTTTGAGCCATTACCAGTATCATTAGCTGATACTGGAGATCTGTGGAGGTGCGACTGCACCCTGCGTGACGGGAGATGTCTCCCGGACCAAATGGTCCTTTCAGGGATATTCCCGCTCGGGTCCTGAACCTCTGGCTGGCCCGCTAAGTGTTACTTGTTTCTTGTTTCCGTCTTAGCCGGTTTATGAGTATTTATGACTTCAGTAAGATTTGGTGAATGTAGAGAAGTTGACAGAGAAGTTACGAAAAGAGTTCAATCGAATGATTAGAATGAGAGGAAATTATGGAGAAAAGGGGTTGTTGTTGTAATAGATTCAGCTACTCCGAACAAGTTCCAAGTAGCACGGGCTATGGTGAGCCCGTATGAGAAAAGGGGTGAACCAGGATGACTATATAGCACATGGAAGGAATACTAGGACAGGATAGCTGCTGGGATAGAAGGATAGAGGAAAGGAACGATACTCAACCACTTGGACGTTTGGGGATCGAACATGAACCTGCAAGAAGCGAGACCGTTGCTCTACCGACCAGTCCAGGTGGCTGAAATGAAGTATTTACCAATTTATGCGTTCCACAGTTCCCATAAAGGGACCAAATATATCAAAGGGTTAATTAACCTTTAGAATTGATTAGGCAGAGCCAGGGGAGGAAGGGGAGGGGAGAGGCAGGAACGATGAAAGTGGTGATAATTTGTTTGGTGGTTATACAAAGGGCGATTAGACGACGATGAGGATTCGAAAAGCCCAATTTTTTTTTTTTTTTCGTTGGGCTTTTCGAAAAAAAACAAAGAAAATATATAAAAAGACCATCGACCATTCACTCTGGGTTTGAAGAGTTGTGTTGGAAGGTGTTCAGTCCCCTACACTTGTCTTCCACGTGTATACTGACTGATCTGGACGGGAGACATTTCCCGTCATGCAGGG